TTTTCAGTGATGCCGCAAAAGTGTTGTATCTGTCTTCTTTTATTGTGCAGTCGGCGGGACCGATTCAAAATTGAGTCGTTGCTACTAAAATAGCAGCATATGGCGTCAGATGATGAACAGGAAAAATAGTTGCGTAAATTTAGACATAAACCACCCCCAAACCATGAATATCTTTTGAAGGCACTATAGACGACCATTAACTAACTAGATGTGATGAAGATCAAATGTAAGGAATACGCTCATTTTACAAAATTACATGCAAGTACCAAAAAGTGATGTAAGTACTTATTCAACGGTCATTTTCAGCGCTCCCCGCTAACGTGACTTCAAGTTGAGATATTTGCGGCAAGGTACCGAATTGAGCAAAATGGTTTTAATTTACATTATAACTTGTTGTGTTTTGTCAGAAAATGGTCCTAACTCAGATTTTGTGGAAAAAGGTCATAATCTCCCTTTAATGAGTTGCCATCGAGGTGAAGGCCGAGGAGTTTGCTCTCTAACGCTCAATGCATGCAGCGCAGCGCACCAGTAGGTTCCGTCGCTTATAAAGGTTACCATATCTCGACCACTACCAGTTACTTCGCAATCGTGGTCGGCTGCAGCGTCAGCGGCGCGCTCGGCCGCCTCCACCCGCACGACGCTGCTCGTTGTCCTCCGAGTCGCTCAGCGGCAGCTCCGGCAAATCGCTGAGCCGCAGCTCCGGCGAGCCGCTCAGCGGCAGCCGGCCCAGCCGGTGTCACCCGGTGCTTTCCGCCGTGCCTGCCATCGTCTGACTACCTCCAGAGCCTCGCCGCCGCTAACTTGAAGAATCTTGGCCGCTGCTGCCGCATCGACTCGTCTCTCTCCGTCACCGGCCACTGCTACTCGCGTAGTATCCTTGAGCATTTTGATGAAACCTTCAATATTTGGCGTGCAGCGTGATCTGAAATGGTGCCATTTTTATACTTTTAGCAAGGGCGGCGCCACCGTGGGGGCAGTGGGGGCAGACTGCCCCCACTGGCAGGAGGCCGTGGGGGCAAGACTATGCTTTTGCCCCCACAAAATTTGGCTGATGTTGAAATGGGAACAGAAGACCGGTGCAACATTCATGATAGGCGGTTATAATAGTACGCCTGTTTTTGACGATCCCCGTATCAAGTGCATCAGCAGAACGTTCGTTCTCAGACCGTCTGTCGCATATCTCCTACTCCCACTCAATCTCCTACTCATTTTCATTCACCAGAAGGCTGCCATCGAGCTTGACCTCGAGGAGGTTGAGAGGCAGCTTGTCAAAATCGGCCAGAGAAGAGTTGCACCCTCTTTTGGGAACCCTCAGACTGAGACTGAGCTCAGAGAGGTATGACAAAATGTGATAGGTAGGTAATAACTAATAGGTATGTATATCTGGGTTATCTGGAAATGTATGTGGATCGCCCTAATAGAGCTTATTCTGGTATCAATCGTGTGTGAGAGAATCGCATATATTCGCACTACGGTAAAAAAGAGAACTAGGTACTGATAACTGTTTTGAGGAATACACCATTTTATACATCTCAACATAACGTTTTCACAGGTTTCTGTCTCGCAATTTAGTTTTATAGTTTTATTTGCTCGCGACCTTAACCTGCCCGGGCCCGGGGGTATTCCCAACCACCGCAGCCCGGGGTACCCACCACACCTGTCTAATTCCGTACTTAAATAAGGAAATAAGGCAGCTACGGAAACAAAAATGGTACCAAACGAAAGGTATCTAGGCGATAAGATTTTATAACACCCAAAGTTTTTGACCTCAGGTCAATTTTCAAGGTCAAAAGTCAAGGTCCAAGGCAAAAACCGGCACTTTTGTAGTGGTCTCAAAGTACGTGTTCCAGAGGACGACATGGTGCATAAAACCGGCTAAAATGGATGTTAAACGAAAGAAGAGAGTCTGGGGATTCCGATGACGCGCAGTGCATAACATTCAAATTCAAGGTCACGGTCGTGATCAAAATTGACCATAAACTTTGCACTTTTTCTTATACCTTGTATACTAAATTCAGAGATGTTTTGAAATGTTTTGAAGCTTAGCGGGCCCCTATTTGTGCTTTAGCTTACGATACAAGGCTGCTACAAGGTCAAAGTCACAAGGGAGTATCCTTGCTAGAGGCTATTTCACTGATTTAAGTCAGGCATAATAATTAAGACATGTTTGGCCATCCTGAGGCTCTAAATTAATGCTTAGAGCAAAATGGATGCCAGAATCGTGATCCGCGGCTACGAAATCATCATTAACAACCTTTCATGTGTCAAAGTCAACCAGACGTCATTCGAGGTCACGTGAGGTCAACATAAAACTTGACCTTTTCCAAACAATATATATGTCATTCGACGCGTCTCGACGAGACAAATGCGAAGGTACCTACCGCTGCCGTAGCTCTAGGACTATTTTTGTTGACGTTATTTGCGAAAAAAACTTAAGCCTTAGCTCGAGGTCGTTGACCTGACCTCTGACCTCAGGTCACCAAAGTTACTTACGTATTTTTTCTAGGTCAAATGCTACACAACTGTGCTCGTTATTTGTCTTTATCTCTAAAACTCTATTTTGGCAGCTGGTTGAAGTTCACGGCTGTGACGCCGAAGTTTGCCGTGCAGGAGTCTAGAAAAAATCGGCCTTGAGACGTTATCAAGAAGGCTAGGTCCAATTTGTTTTGCTTCAAAAGATTTCAAATTAATGGGGGATAAGGTACAGCAAATTTCGTATTTCTACTCCTAAGCGTTCATGTGGTATCGCAAATATTCTCCAGGGGAGGCGAAAAACGCCCCCCCCCCCCCCCGTTCCGGACCCGGGAGGGTTAATGCTTAAGCTCAATACGTATGCATGAAACCTGAAACCATGATAATTTCTAATTGGCAACATCTAGGGGCAAGGAGCTCATGGATTTTGCATATCGGGTTATCAGACAACAGTCGGGTCACCTGAAGCTTGCCCCCACTGGCGAAAATTCGTGGCGCCGCCACTGACTTTTAGGCATCGGTTCAAAGCTCCCGAAGCCCCAAAGCCCCCTGACCGTTAGGACAAACTGATAAAATATTAACAATAACATCTTCTAGACCGCGGCGCTTCAAATAATGAAGGTTTTATTGGATTCGGTCAAGTAGCTTCTGAAGAAGTCTGCAAATTAGGGGACTGGTAGTCTTGGACCGATTCGGTCGTACGACCGAATAGCACGCAACATTGATTCAATATTAGAATTGGTTGAATCCAGGTTGAATCCAGGTTGATTGTCAACATTGAAGATCAACCGTCTTTCAACATCAATCCAGCATTGATTCCATGTTGATTTTGCGTTGTATTTGGTTGATGGCCCGGATTGGTATGCAATATTGTGTGTCGAAAAAACGCTTTCGTCGAAACTACCTGCTTGCTTTCGAAATGAGGAGTAATACAGGGCTGAAAAAAGTGTTTCGGTGGTTGTCGTCCGAAGGAAAACGGGCTTATTTGGTTGTCGGCTTAAGATGTCTAACCCGCGCCCCGCTGAGGGTCCTTGATTTCCATGCCCTGCTGGGGGGGGGGGGGTACAACACCCCCTCTTTTAACTCTGATCCTGGGTCAAGCAGTGTTAAGCAGTAAACGGCATTCGAAAGAACGTCCAAAATAAGGATGAAAATATGTCATTCATTTGTTAGATCAAGTCAAAGGTCAGGTCACCAGATGCCATTAAATGAAAAACATTGCCTTTTTCAACTTTTTTCTTCGAAACACCGGTCCACAACTCGGGAACCAATTATAGAGCTACATACGGCGCCGCGGAAAAGATTCGATAGCCCTTTTGACCCGCCTTTCAGTGACTCTTCGACGGTGCCACTGGTCGACTTCCACTCACCTTTCAACAAAACGTGCTCAAGTTAGTACAAGCACTTAAGTCGTGCAGACGCCACGGACCCTGCGTGCGAATACATTCTAATTCCTCTCCTTCTTGATAGCGCAGGGCGCTCAGCTGTCAAGCTAAAATGTCCGACGATCCCTATTCCTCGACCTCGGAAGTCCCGAGACACCATATCCTCGTGGGCATGACATGGCGTGCCCTCCCCGCATCAAAATATTACCGGCACTGGCGCGGTCCCGCCGCGGACCTACCCCCAGGCGCCGCCGGGGGTGGGTATGACGTCACAAAAGGAGGGGACGCTAACTGACCGCCGGCCGGGGGCGGCGCTGAAGGGTGCGGGCAGGGGCCGGCCGAGTCCTGGAAGGTACTAGATTTGCCAGACATGTGTTGCCAGTGGACAACCACGGCGACCACTTGGTATGTCATTGGTCGCCTTTATGAGGGTCGCCGGTCGGCCGTCCGAACGATGGTCGAACGACGCAGTATATACTAGATAGCTACGGGGAGTTGGAATATGTCTGTAGCTACCAGGAAATTTTCCACTGGCGGATGCCGCCGCGTAGGGTGGTAACGGACTCGAGAACTGCGAGTCGATTTGATGGGGAGGGACAGAGAATGGTTTGCGTGGGAGAGGCGATTGGGTTGGGTGGGCAGATACGAATGGATTGCGCGCTTCTAACCGCACTAAGCGGGAGGTCTAAATCAGTTCAGGCGCTGCGCGTGGTCGCCATAAGATCGTCTTCTCGGTTGTCGTCGACAACCACAAAACGATACAATTTTTCACCCCTGGAGTAATAATGAAAATCGACATGGCCCGCTAATTTGAATGTTATATTTTGTTTACTTTTCTCGTCTGCTTCTTAGACACCCGAATTGTCTGTGTTTTAGACAAAATAATACAAAAATCTTGGTATTGTTTTCCAGTGGTTTTCAATGGGTTTTCATCATTTCATATATTTTCAAATTTTGATGCAATTTTTAACATACTCGCAAACTTTATTAATTTAAAACAATATTTTTATTCATTTTCAAGTGGAAATAAATATTTTTAGTCTGCAACTATCTTAAATTTTAGGAAAATCTAAAAATTGCGTCATAAAATACATGACTGAAAAATAATAACTCATGTTAAAGTTGTTAGCTTCGATATAATTCGTAAGCCCCTGACCAATCAGCGCTGCCGTAATGAATGCTTTAGAAATAGCTACTTTCTTGGTAAAGAATATTTTCAAAAAAAAGTTTGTCTTTGTTTTCAATATTTCTCAATATAAACATTAAGGTTATTTTAAAAAGATCATGAGTAAGTAATGTATTGAACGTTTGAAAAGCCCTTAAATGCTGCAAATCTCAAGAAAGAAGCTACACAACAATGGCGCTGCGCACATGTAAACCAGTTTATACCAGTTTGAACCGAATTTTCTGCGTCTGATGGCTACCTTACCTCGACGACGGGCGTAAAGATTTCCTAGCTGATGTTAGTTCCTCAACAAATGTAAGTGTGACTTTATCGCTCATTTTCTATAATTAAAGGCAGAGTCCGAGAAGCGTTGCGATAGGGCCTAAAGTCGCGTGTTTTTGTTGTGAAAACAAGAAATAGCGTTCATGAAAGCATGGCAGGTGCGCTAGAACTGTCCCGGCGTGGGCGAGCAATATTTGTGGATGTTGATTATGCTGTATTCTCAATGACATCTCTTGGAAACACATATATGACCTTGCACTGTGTGGTTGACACCATCACAAGGGCTTAGTTTTTGTGGGGTCGTGTTCAGTAATATCATGATATGTGTGTCCACTTGTGGGTTCGCTGTTCAGCGATATGTCTTAGAATATCCTTAATCATACCCCCTTTTTGTCCTAGGATAGAAAGGCTTAAGTGTTGCTGGAATGGTCATTATTTACATCAGCATTGCACTGCACATTGCAATACTGAAGAAATAACTCAAGTAGGTAATCAAAATCAAAATAATTAGAAATAGGTTAAATGGGGGAAGTATGCCTTTCAAGCAGCATCTTTAGCACCTTGCTTGATTAACCAGTGTTCGGCCCACCACTTCCGTAATGTGAGGTGCCAGTAGTTATATCTATATCTAAAGAACTATTTGGCAGACTGCCATGAACAGTCACTCCCACCAGACAGCCAGTTATGGGGAACCTCTGGATTGGGGCATTGAATGGCAGGGTTGGCTGTCCCAGCAGGATTCTCTTGCCATTCTAGGGCTAGCTTTGCCACAGCATCTCTGTTGATTGTTCGCCCAGACCCCAGTCTGGTGTTTCCACCTGATCCTATCATCCCTACCTGATCCTTATTCTTCCCATAGCTTTGCTATGCTGCAGTCATTACTCATAATTAAAGCATGCTACCAATGTAACAGAAATAAAAAGGTTCAATTCCAGATTTTTGTCTTGATAAATTGAAGTGTTAGCCTCAGGTCATCCCCCAAATTAAAGGTATTTTTATTACTTGTTATCCAACTTGATCATCAGGTTTATCATGGGTAATTGTTAATCATGCTGCTGCTGGAACCACCATTTCATTGAGGATTTAGGCATATTTTAATGTCTGGGTAAATCATTTACAATGTTTACTTTCCTGCAACATGCTTTGGCAAAAATTTTACCTCATTTGTCAACTTGTTTGCCACTGGCTTGGAAACATACTATAGTAAAAGTCATTTCCTGCATCCCACCTCTAAACCTAACCCAACTGATAAAATCAAACTAAAAAAAAGTTCATTGATCGCTAAAGGGGTGAATTTATACCAGGCTGAGAAGTTCCAATCATCTGCTTTTATATTTTGCCCATTTATTGCAAAATTAATCAAATGTTAAATATGATCAAATTGGTAACAATCAGTTTGATTTGTTGGCAGGAAATGCAATTTGTATGTCAATATTTTATTTCTATTTTTTAGCAAACCTTTTCATAAAATAACATTTTGTTTGAATAGTGATGAAGTGACATATTATTAATGCAAAGTTTGTTGAAGTTTTTTTAGCACTTGCCTGCAATTACATTTACATACACATGTAATTACCTTGGAGTAATTGATATTTTGGTGATATGTAACAATGATTTTTAACTTTAAAATTCTGAATTTAAGACCTTTAATAGGAGTTGAATAGCACCACTGAGTTTACAATCAAAGTTCCATTTCTTGTTCTCCAAAACCAACTTCATTTGACCTAGATTGACTTGACCTTCATTTTGACTCAACCTGAACTGATATAATTATGGGCATTTGCTCTCAGTCAACTATTAGCCAGCATTTTGAAGGCAGTCATTAGGGAAATTGTTATTTTTACCTTAGACCTAGTCTTGACCTGACCTGTGATCTGCTTAAGCAAAAGTTTTGTGCCCACCAAACTTATCTTCAGATCGTTCAATCGCAGTTTCTCCGTGTTTCTGCGACCATCTGCTTGAATCTTATATAGAATAAGCTATGGCCGGAGAACAGCGACCCTCCAGATTTTGTAGCCTTGGGTTGTAACATCGTTTGCTGGGATGCACACTCAAATGTATATTGGGATGCATTTTTATCATATGGGATGAATAAGAGGGAAGTTTCCAGGCGCTGAAGCACACAAGCTTGTGAAGCAGAACAAGCTCTTTTGGACCTTCCTGGGACCAAAAATTTTCAGCATGCCTTGCACGTGGAAGTGCGAAGGAATACATCTCTTGTTTTGCATTTGGATTACCCACATTCATCGCGAGTAGTCCAATACTTGGTTGACAGTAATCCAATACTAAGGTTGTATGAAGCCGGTTAGTGAATTATAAAATACGATAAGTAAATTATAAAAGACGGTAAGTGAATCGGTCCCGTGGTTACTGAGATATAAGCCTCTGAAATGCGTGACCACGGCCGGCCGCTCATCCTAAGAAATTTCCTTTAATCTACGAAAGACTTCTATTCGCTCCTTCGCTCGTAGCTTTGTGGACTTGAAGAGAAATATCCGGTGTTGGAACTGGAGTCAGAACCGGAGTCGATTTTCGAAGTCAGATTCACCAAAAACTTCATCGACTCCGTGGCCCTGCGGCTGAATACGGCGGCGGGGCGCGGGCTAGCCCTTGCGTTGCACCGTTTTGAAGTATGCGTCTGGCCGCGGGCGGATGAGCTCATGGTCGACCTGTTGGCTCGGCGCCAGAACTATCGTCGGTCCTGTCCATCCCGTCCTCCCTCCCACGTCCCGACAGTCACGTCCAGAGAGCGGTCACCCACCTGTGACGGCGCTCCGGCGCGAACTGTCCGGTCCAGTCAGGTTCATGTCCCGATAGTCTACCTCGGTGTTATTGTGGATCTTTACGATGATATAGGCTCCGCTGATAGCCACACCCAATGTACTGACTGAATATTTGCTCCACAGGTTGCACAATATGGAGGATGCACGGAAACTGTTGGACTTCAGCCAGAAATTGGACATCACCCTGTTGGACAGGGTGGTGTCGTGCCTGTACAATGGCTCCGGCGAACAGGTCCGTGCGATACCACCCCGTACTCCCCCTCCCCCCTCTTCCAGGTTCCCGTGAGCCACTCAAACGAGTTTAAACTTGTTTCTTTTTACGACGAAGATGTCCGAAAGTTTGATATTTTGCTTGATTACTAAGAGTCTTTGAGGCGCCTGTATGGTCGTCCCGTGACTCACACGGCGTATGTTTTGACATATCTTTGCTCAGTTGCATTATAGTTGGTCAGGAAGTAAATGTTTAGGTTTCCATGATCAGATTCATATGCTATTTTATTGATAATGTGATTAATGCTGGTGCCAGTAGGTAATTATCAAATTGTGTTTCAATGTGAAACAGCAGGTATGACAATGATCACATTTTTACGCAGGAGTTGTCCTATCGCACTACTGTGTTAACATTGATTTTAGCAGTGGCGGCGGCCAGCTATCCGGCCTAATCTGGTCCGTTTGGCATGTTGCGTTGACCAAACCCCGTTCGCTGCCGACAGCAACGCGAGGCTCAGTACATCCTGACGACGCTGAAGGAGCACATGGACGCGTGGACGCGCGTGGACACCATCCTCGAGTTCTCCACCAACCAGCAGACCAAGTATTACGCGCTGCAGATCCTCGAGCAGGTGATCGAGACCCGGTGGCGCGCGCTGCCGCGAAACCAGTGCGACGGCATCCGCAAGTACATCGTCGGCCTCATCATCAAGATCTCATCGGTGCCGGAGAACCTGGAGCGCGAGCGGGTGTACCTGCGTAAACTCAACTTCATCCTGGTCCAGGTGAGCGGTCGAGCGAGGAGGCCCGGGACGGGGAAGTGAGCGAGAGCCGGTAGAGAGCAACGAACGGGGTTAGGAGCCGTTGACGGAGGATTTTGATGGCATCGTAATTCGTAGCTACTGTGTGGTGATGTGGAACCAGAGCCGCGCATTGTGCGGCACCCCGGTCGCTAATGCCTCCGTGGAACCGTGTAACGCGCCCAGTACTCTTTGACCCCTGTCCCACTGATTTTTTCATTGTCTCACTAACCCCTACCTCATGACCATTTCCTTTTCTGTTGACCCCTGCCTCGTCTACACTCTAACCCAATGACCCATGTCCCGCGACTGACCTTTACCCTTCTGGTCCCTGCCCTACTGACTCCCGTCTCCCGTTCTCTGACAGATCCTGAAGCGCGAGTGGCCGCGCAACTGGGACTCTTTCATCACAGACATCGTCGGCTCCAGCAAGGCCAACGAGGCGCTCTGCCACAACAACATGCACATCCTGGCACTGCTCTCCGAAGAGGTGTTCGACTTCAGCGCCGGCAAGCTGACCCAGGCCAAGGCCAAACACCTCAAGGACACAATGTGCTCAGAGTTCAGCCAGATATTCCAGCTCTGTCAGTTTGTGATGGTGAGTGATATGCTGTTTGTTGCACGTGTGTGGGGGGAGCTCCAATACTTGACCATCATCTTTGGACATTATTGGTGGCATTATGCTTTCTCTGATAGGCTAAATTATTTGCTGCAGTGGTTTTGATAAATCTTCGCTGCTGCTGACAGGCGGACGTGAAGGCTTGACCCCGTCCTACTGGTCCGGCAGCGCCCGGTACACATATTCAAACCATTGACGCATCCCCCAGTGTCCCCAAGGGTGTCCCTCACTGGTGTGTCTGTCTGTCGCTCACCGGCCCCCTCCCCCGTTACCGTCCACAGGAGACGTCTCAGAACGCGCCTCTGGTGGGCGCCACACTCGACACCCTGCTGAGGTTTCTCAACTGGATTCCTCTCGGCTACATCTTCGAGACCAAACTCATCAGTCTGCTCATCTACAAGGTACGCGCCCGTGTGGGGACGTGAGCGCTTCGCCACGCGGGAATAATTCGCAGGGCTGATAGTCATAAATAATGTGTTATTTTAAGGCGCTGATGGCCTTTGTAACAGTCTGTGCTCCATGGAAGCTCAAATGCCATAGGTAACCTATCATGATATATGGTTACAATATAACCAATGTGGAGGTCTTAGTGTAGCCTGCTGAGTCCGTGCTCACGACGCGTCTGTTTGTGTTCCGGCAGTTTCTGAACGTGCCCATGTTCCGTAACGTGACGCTGCAGTGTCTGACGGAGATCGCCAGCGTCACAGTGGCCAGCTACGACGAACAGTTTGTCCAGCTCATCACACAGACCACCGCGCAGCTCGAGCAGGTGGGAGAGAATGCGGTGACGCGCGCAGGCCGAACGGCTAGACGGCCTGTCGTTTTTTGTGGGTCTGCATTCAAATCTGCTTTATAGTTTTGTTGTTTATGTCCAGGTTGTTCATTATCCACCCCTCATTAACCGCTCAAAACCAAATTAACCATCACTGGCTGCAGAATACGTCCAGGGCGATTGAATTTTACCGTTTAATTTCCACAAATATATAATTTTGGCTAGTTAAAACTTCAGTGAAATTTAGGCTTTTTCTTTAATGTTTATAAAGCTGTATTGACATGTATGTTAGCAAATATTTAATATCGATTGCCGTCCCCCTCCCATTACAGATGCTGCCGGTGAACACCAACATCCGTGAGGCGTACGCGCACGGCCAGGACTCTGAACAGAAGTTTATCCAGAACTTGTCCGTCTTCCTCAGCGTCTTCCTGCGGGAACACGGCAGCCTCGTGGAGAAAAAGGCGCCAGAGACGCTCGACCGGGTACGCTTTGGACATGTTCTCATTGGCCGCCTTTTGTATACGCGTCGTTTTGGTCGAGGTTTTGGGGACTGTTTTCTTTTGTTAGTTTTCAGTTAATAATTGTGGTTGGGCTTACGTCTCGCGTGGACGACGTAGGTAAAGTTTTGCAGTCCCGACTCTCGAGTCTTCTCGAAGTGGACGCGGTGCCGACATGGTCTAACTGCCCCGGATGTCGGCCCGTCTACCTGGACAGTCTTGCGTAATCCCAATATTGTCACCTGCCGTCTGCTCAGCCTCGTTTCAGGACCGGCGAACGCTCCCCCTCCCTCCCTCCCCCAACTTCCCGTATGACGTGACGCCCTGACAGTGGCGCATCCCCCCCCTCTCCTGCCCACAGGCGCTCACTTACCTGGTGCTCATCTCAGAGGTGGACGAGACGGAGATATTCAAAATCTGCCTCGAGTACTGGAACGTGCTGGCCGGCGACCTGTACCGAGAGAACCCGTTCACGGCGCCCAACAACCCGTTCCCGTTCATGGCCCGCGTCGGCAACCAGCCGCAGGGCCGGCGGGCGCTCTACAGCGGCGTACTCACCAAGGTGCGACGGGGAAAGGGACGGAGGGGAGGGTAGCCAGGCGCAGGGCCGGCGAGCGCTCTACAGCCGCGTACTCACCAAGACGCGACGGGGATCGGGACGGAGGGGGTCACGTCCAGTGGACTGGGGGAATGTGATCAAAGTGAGAGTCGTGGAGTAGCGGCTGCTGAGATGTCCAACCGTGAATTCCTAGAACGCTGTGGTAGACGCGTGCACATTCTCGTTTGATCTCTTGACTCTTTGCCGCGTGCTCTCCGTTCTGCGGTTGATTATGAAGTGGTTAGCCGACCGGTCGGGGCCCCGATACCTGTGACATCTCGCTCCCGTGATAGCCATGCTGTAACGTCGTCCCATCCGGCCGTCCCCAGATCCGGTACATCATGGTGGGTCGCATGGCCAAGCCGGAGGAGGTGCTGGTGGTGGAGAACGACCAGGGCGAGGTGGTGCGCGAGTTCATGAAGGACACGGACGCCATCAACATGTACAAGTCGATGCGGGAGACGCTGGTGTACCTGACCCACCTGGACTACGTGGACACGGAGCGCATTCTGACGGAGAAGCTGCAGCGCCAGGTCAACGGCACAGAGTGGTCCTGGAAGAACCTCAACACGGTGAGCTGGGGGACAGGGAGCGGGTCGGGAATGGGCTGGCTGCTGGGCGGTCGTGTTGTTTATCGACTTGACGTTGTGTTAACGGGAATTCAAGCCTGATGGTTGCGCGTTTAACAGTGATTCGATCTAGTTTGGTTTTTCCGTTCTTGGCCTCTCATAACACCGCCAAACATGGTGTGGACTTGTTTGGTCTGCTGCCGGCTCCGGCTTCCCGAGTCCTAATCTCCCCCTCCCCCGCCGTCAGCTGTGCTGGGCGATCGGCTCCATCTCAGGCGCAATGCACGAGGAGGACGAGAAACGTTTCCTAGTCACCGTCATACGCGACCTGCTCGGACTCTGCGAACAAAAGAAGGGCAAAGACAACAAGGCCATCATCGCCTCCAACATCATGTACGTCGTCGGACAGTACCCGCGCTTCCTCAAGGCGCACTGGAAGTTCCTCAAGACGGTGGTCAACAAGCTGTTCGAGTTTATGCACGGTAAGTTTCTATTCACGCTGACTGCGCCGTGCTAATAGTGCTCATGAATGATGTATCGCATGTTGAACTGGTGGTGGATGCCGGCGACTTTGGTATCTTAGTGTCTTTTGGTTTTGGTGGAAGTTCATTGCATCGTGTAGCTGAATGTGGTGTCACGTTATATGGAGCGTGATGTCCTTAGTCTTGCTTGCTCGTATAGTCCTTTTGATTTGGTCTGAATGTGTTTAATTTTTTCGAACAACTTTTTAATATATCTAGGGCCTGCTAAGCGGGTTTGTCGATTATCCCATCTAGCGGCCGATAAAAAAGGATTAATAAAAAGGATAGAGAGGCATTAATAGTCTGACGCCAAACGTTTTTTTTTTCCTAAATAATAACGCTTATTTTCCGCACAAAAGCGATGCATGACAAAAAAAGGTGAGCATGCGTGAAACGAAAACTGATGATTAGAATTCGGTCCAGTCTAAATTCGTTTCGCAACCAGTTTGCAATGTTTTAGCGTGCTCAAGTAGTCATTTGGCAACCAACTTTCTAGCTCAAAGTAACGCTCATTTCGGTGGCGGTGGTGTCTTGCACGCGTCTGAGTGTGTGCGTGCGTACGTTTGTGTGTATGTGCGCTCGTGTGCGTATTGTGATGTGACTGCGGCTGCGTGTCTTCTTACCTAGGCCAGTGATGAAAGGGGTGTGTGTGTGTGTGTGGCGAAAGGATGGGCTGCAGTTATGATTGTTGCGTATTTATTGATTTATCGATATTCTGTTTGTGTGCGTTTATATGTGTACGTGTGATGGTGTATGTGTGTGTGTGATGATGTATGCGTGTGTGCGCGAGGTCGGTGTTGGCCGGCGGGTATAACTGGCGCGTATGTCTGTGTTGCGTTGCAGCCGCGCGCGCGCTGAGTTGTCACGCACAGTCTGAGTGTCGAGCGCCCCTTGTGCGACCGGTGGTCCGGCGCCGCCCCCGCCGCCCGCGCCAAGTGAGTGACCGGGCGCTGCCGTCGCCGGCTGGCCGCCAGACGGGCAGACACAGACAGGCTGACAGACTGACACGGTAGGGGACGGGCATACAAGGGACACAAATCGGCAGGCAGGTGACGGACAGAAAAGCAGACAGACGGACTTACTGGTAGACAAATCCAGACAGAAGGGCAGACATGGAGACAGACAGGCAGACAGACAGAAATGCTGACAGACGGACTTAGGGGCGGTTATACAGGCAGATGGGCTGACAGAGAGGCGGACAAAGTTCTTACACAGGCGGCAGTTAGGGCACTAAGGTGACGAATTCACAGGCATATGACGGACGTGCTGACGGGGCACTGTTGACGGACTGTCAATCGGACAGACGGAGACGCTTCTGGAAGACTGACGACGATTGACTAAAACGCACTTTGAAACGCAGACCGACCGGCACGTGACCCGGGATGACACGGGTAGTGACGGCTGTTGCACACCCTGCCATCCTACCTCATCCTGTCCACTCTAGAGGTGTCAATCGGAACCGAAAATTTTGGAATTCCGAAAATTTCCGAATTCCGATTCGGAAATCGGACGGACAAGTGACAAACACATCGGACATATTCGGAAAACTAGTTGAAAATTACAAATTTCTAAAATAAGTTAAAGTTCAAACTTAATTCCATTATCAATATGCAAATTGCCAAACATGTCATCAAAATTGGCAGGGGAAAGGTGGTTCATACATCATTCATAATTATAGTGCAAGATGAACATCATTATAATTGCATGTAGCAGGTAGCTCTGAGTCAAATATATACCCACCTATACTGTGACAACTTTTAACTCTAAATTTGAAAATGTGTTTACGAATGTCAATAGCCAATAGGTGACATTGTTGTCAGCAGGCCCATCATTAGATAACACAGTTATGAATATGATGTAAGTACAATCATTGACCTGTGGGAAGCACTAGACACCAAAGCAGTAAAGAAGAAATCCAAAAATAGACTTGCCTCACTTGAAAGTTAACAGAATAGGCTGAAGAAAATTGCAAATATCAAGGTGTGCAAAGAAGCACAAGACTCTTACCTAAAACCCCGTATCATAAAATCTTCCCCTTCCACCCCTTCCCCCCAAAAAATATCCGTGCCGAAATATCGAATAAATGCTACATTATGCCGATAGCCTATCCAAATAAAATGATTACCAAAAGATGATGAAATGCGGCGAAAGCGTCACAAGTGTCACCTAAGGAAAGATGGCCCCCGGATGAGAATCAGAGGAGACAAAGAAATGACGTCTAAAATAATAAATACTGTCAGTGTGCTTTACAATAGAATAATTTTGGAAAAATTATCATATTTCGCACTGCATATTATATTTAAATCAAACTACTAATGGTAAATGTACTTCAATAGGACAAATTATCTGATAATGACGTCATATTACTGATTTACTTTCACATCATCGACTCAAAGCCGGATACCATGTTCCATTCTACCGAGAATGGTAGCATGAAATGTGTTTTCCATTCTACCAAGTATTACAACTTTTTTATGCTTGTGAATTTCAGTGAATTTGTGTTAAATCATAGCAAGTATTTTTATTTTTGTGATCGCTTATTTTGTTTCGATATTCAGAGATGTGTTGCTCAGTGAAGAGCACGTTTCTTCCAGATGTACCTACCTATCTCACATGTTTCTTCTTACATGAACTTGAACTATTTTGCTTTTGCAAGAAGTGTTCTACTTCACATGCCAGCCAGTGTGATATAAGATGAAGATATACATTATTGTAAGTGACTTGCTTCTTGCATTATTGCTGTATTAATTCATCATCAAGTGGCTTAGTGTCAAAGGGATGCGGCAAGAAGTCAATATTTGAGAACGCAAGTTTGAGGGATAAGGCAATCTTTTGCATTATTTCTGCTTACTCAGCTTCAGTTGTAGGCTGTAGCACATTTTAAAGCAGAATAGGCTAATTGTCTCAATATGCTGTGTTTGTGTTGTATATCAGATTAGGCCTTTTGCCCAAATGCCCATTCCCTACTGCATATGATATTGCTTCAACATTTTTAGTTGGAAATATTTTGCACTCAAAACCAGATGGCAGATACCAGATGGCAGTTATCATGTGGTACATAATAACATATACCTAATATAGATCAATTCCCCCATCCTCTCCTTCGATATCCAGCTTTCGGACAGTTTTCGGACAAATCCATGCCTTGGACATTTTTCGGACAAAAGTGAGCTAGAATTTTGGACATTGGACGGACATCGGACAAGAAATTTCTGAAATTGACACCTCTAGTCCACTCCCATTAACCCGCGCACCGACGGGGGTCTGCGCCAACTTAGAACCGACGGGGGGGCGGATGACCGCCCCCCCCCCTGAGATCTCGAGAACGAAGTAAGATAGCGACAAGCGGTAAACGGTATGGGTACGCACGGACAAGGTCTACAATTTTTACTAAGGTCATTTTCAGGTCAGGTCAAAGATGACGTCACAGGGGTCAAATAAGTCAAAATGGCGGCGCTAGATGAGTTTTTCCCGAATAACTTTCGAACTAGTCACGATATGAACAAACTAAGTGCATCATCGTGATCCTCTCGTCAATCCGCATCGAATGATATAATATGTTGACCTCGAAAGGTCGAAGTCAAAGGTTGACCTCAGGTCACGTGACCTTGAGGTCATCATGTATATCATTCGATGCGCCTTGACGAGCTGAACACAATGAGACCATCCGTGCGGCTGTATCTTGTTCCTGTACGGAGTTATTGGCAAAAAAACCTTTGGTGACCTTTGATGACGTCACATGACCTTACAGCTGCCCAACAGCAAAACAGACATCAAGGTAGTGAAGTTCGATCGTATATGAAGTCATGTATGGTATATGGGGCCATTCCGACCCGTTTTAGTGGTAAAAAGAGGGAGTTGATTTTTCCCCCATTGACTTATAATGGGGAGGTCGAGAAATTGACCTGACCTTAGGTCATCGATATCAAAATTCCGAGATAAATAAATTGTAGCTACTAATGACCTTATAACGTCCTGCGACTTTCAAAGGCCTCCGACATCTACTGTAGCTCTGGCACGGTGACAAAGTTGCAAAAAAGTGACTTGAGGTTGGGTCATTCAAAGTGACCTGGTGACCTGACCTTAAAGTTAGGAGGTTCAAACTTGCAGACCATGTGTAAAATTGATGAGAGAATAGTCGTACCAAATTTCGATCTACGAAAAACCTCAGGATCCGCCCCCCCCCCCGTCGGTGCGCGGGTTAACCGAGCAAGTGGATCCGGTTTGTTATCAGTTATAAGCTATGTTATCAGCGCCGTTAGGCCAATCAAGAACATTTTAGAGCTCCCATAGGTAGGCAAAATGACACAAACTGTGAGGAGAGGTCGATAGGGTTTGGTGGCCGGCCCATCGGGCATGTACGGCGAGGGGGAAAACCACGGCCGGCAGCCTGATGTCATCAGGACACTATCGTTAGCGTCATAACGTCCCACTGGCTTCCTGAAAACGAGTAGAAAGCAAGAGCTGTATTCGTGTAAAAAGAGGCCATGAAACATTGGATAATGATGTGAGGGTATAACGAGTCGGGCTGCAACACAAATGCGAATTCAAAATCAGTTTCTGCACCCGCTTTCCAACATACAGTTTCAAATTTCTGCGACAGGCTAGGGGGCCGCCTGGAAGTTATTATCATTGCCAAGTGCTAATGATAATAAATGAAATGAAAGGTAGATTTGGTGGGTACAGATGGAGCAGCTGAATGGGAAAATTTTACAGAGGCTTTGAAAATGTAAATTGAAAATAAGGCTGCGAATTTTGCCTCAAACGATTGGGGCCGTGCACTTATACCGTCCGCATCCTGTGGTTCGGTCAGGGATTGCAAATTTTGTAGCGTACCTCCCTTGTCTAAACTAGGACAGGGAAATGTCTTAGTCTTATATCAGACGCGGACACCTTACGACATATCCTGCTTTGTGTTGCAAGTATCCACACCAGTCTATCCCATAGCACCGCGGCATTTGCCCCGCAAGAACATCCAACAGCCTTCGACGGACAGACCCGTATGCACGTCCTCATACTGACCAGACGCCACTAGTTTGAACGTGTAAGATTGCCAGGAGAGCGACTGAATGCGGGCGCGGATGGATGATATGAGAGTGGCGCGAATGGGGACTGGTGTGTGCGCTTGAACGTCCCGTGTGGTCGAGTGGCCTTCGTATGCTCTATCCGCTAAGACCGGACGGTTGATCGCAATCTTTCATAGGGGTGCTGCTTGAGGAGTCCCTTATGCTTTCTGTTGGCTGTGTTTGGCGTCCAAGGCCCTGCCGCGCGACACTGCTTAGATTTTGTGACAAGTAGATTCAGGGAGGGAGTGCAGTGTGTTGTCTATCTGCGACCTGTAAGCTGACTGAGCGGCTTTGTCAGTGCACCACCTGTCCATTGCTGTGTGGCCTGTAGACTAGGCCCGTGCGCGGCTCACTACCCGCCGTCTTACACGTCCCATCCGTCCTCAGAAACGCACGACGGTGTCCAAGACATGGCGTGCGACACATTCATCAAGATCGCCCAGAAGTGCCGGAAGCAGTTTGTGACGATCCAGGTCGGAGAGGTGTGGCCGTTCATTGAGGAGATTCTGGGCGCCATCAGCACACACATCTGCGACCTACAGCCACAGCAGGTGAGGAATCAAAGGGGGAGAGCTGGCAGCGGCGGCTGGGTCTGTCTGGGATACAGCCGCGGGGCACTGTGGGCTGAGGCGGTTACTGGAGATGGTTGGCGGCTTTAGTTTGCTATTGGTTTTCGATGTGGATACTGGATACTAAATGCAACGTGTGTTTTGCGGTATACTATAGAGCCGCGGCGTGGGGCTTCTGTCGTCTATCCTTGTTGCGTCTGACACATCACGCTGATGTGTACGAGGTGGTTGCCGTTGCGCTGTGTAAACCATTCACGTCCCATGATATTCTGTACAATGCTATATTCGCCCGTCGTTGCGCTGTGAACCATTGAGACTGAGTGGGCGCTCATCCCAGGTACACACGTTCTACGAGGCGGTGGGCTACATGATCGCCGCCCACCCGGACCCCAGCATCCAGGAGCACCTCATGGAGAAGTACATGTCGCTGCCCAACCAGGTCTGGGACGACGTCATCAACCAGGCCAGCAAGGTGAGCCGCTGACGGGAGTCCGAGTCCTGCCGGAGTCTGCTTTGGAACGATCCGTCAGGTTTGTTCAAAGCATTGAGAGTTTGTAGCATGTCAGACATTGTTCTTGCCGATTTGCTATTACTTTCCGTGCAGCTGGACGCGACCGGTTTGTGGTTAGACTTGTAGACGACGCGCTCGTAAAGCTAAGCCTCTACAAATCCTGGCAGCTTCATAGAGGCGATGTCTGGTCGAGGAGGTCTTGAGTTTTGAGTAATGTATGACGTGAGACTGACGGGAGGTTTGTGCGGTCTGTGTGACGGAGTCTGACGCCGCTGTCTCTGTCTGACCGTGCCGCAGAACGTGGACATCCTGAAGGACCAGGAGGCCGTCAAGCAGCTGGCTAACATCCTGAAGACGAACGTGCGGTCGTGCACGGCTGTCGGTCACCCGTTCGTCATACAGCTGGGCCGCATCTACCTCGACATGCTGAACGTCTATAAGGTCAGTGGACAGGGCACTGGTGATGTGATCTACCATTGACACAGTCTGGTTGGGTCTTGTTCTTTTCTCTTCTCTTTTTGTCGTGGTATTTTCCTTTGGGCTCCGTTTTTCTCGTAATTCTGGCCACTAGCCCGCGCATAATTTGCACTGGTGTGCAATTTCATGCTCGGTTTTAGTTTCTGCACCCTCGTGATGCGGTTCACTTTCGTCCCCCTTTACCGTGTTTCACGCCCCGCGCCGTGCGGTGCCTGGAGCCGCCCGCGAGCCGAGTCACTGTCGTTCTGACTTCTGACACCCCGTCCGTACAGGTGATGTCGGAAAACATCAGCGCGGCCATTGCGCTCAACGGCGAAACGGTGACGCGGCAGCCGCTCATCAAGATGATGCGCGTCGTCAAAAAGGAGACTCTGAACCTGATCTCGGTCTGGGTCGGCAAGAGCGCGGACAACCAGATGGTAAGGAGAGGCCACTGATGGCTCGAATCGGAGAGGGGGAAGTATACGCTAGTGGCTAGACTTCTCTGAAACGCTCAGCTTAGCATTAGTGTTTATCCTATTATGTGGATACCAACCTGTCCCTACAGGAATCTCGCTGCCTCTATTGTATTACAAGGCATTGCCAGCCGCTTTTAGCATCAATCAACAAAGCAATTTGTTAGTTTACCAACTTGTTACTTAGCCTTGTTTCCACAGATGTAACAGTATATCTGAATTATAGCTTAGGACGATATATAAACAGCGAATGATCCTGAGAATGAATGTGTCCTACTCTGACGATTTGCCTCGTATTCTGAAGACCGAGGCCTTGGCGTAGAGCCCAGTCCCAGGTGTTGAATGCGAGCCGTGCTCAGTGCGCTATGCGGCAGTGTCAGTTTAATCTGTCGTTACATGCCTAACCGATGTGGTCCCATGGCGGCAGGTTCTGGAGAACTTCATTCCGCCGCTGCTGGATGCCGTGCTGCTCGACTACCAGCGCACGCCAGTGGCCTCGGCGCGCGAGCCCGAGGTGCTCAGCACCATCACCGTGATCGTCAACAAGCTCGGCGACAGCGTCACCCCGCAAATCCCAAAGATCTTCGACGCCGTCTTCGAGTGCACACTGAACATGATCAACAAAGACTTTGAGGAGTACCCGGAGCACCGTACAAACTTTTTCAACATGCTACAGGCGGTGAACCAGCACTGTTTTTCGGCGTTTGTGGCCATCCCGGCGGCGCAGTTTAAGCTGGTGCTCGACTCGGTCATCTGGGCAGTGAAGCACACAATGCGGAACGTCTCCGAGACCGGACTGCAGGTGCGTGGAGCTGGGGGCGGCAGGGCAGCTGGGCTGGCTGGCTGGTACTGGTCGTGATGTTTACTCTGCATACGAGTCATTCAGCCGGGCACAAAGTGCCTGCGGCCATGAAAGAGTCCAACTATGATATGTTAAAAAGTGGCAGATCAGTGGCTTGAATGCCAATAATTCAACCTTACAAACCCATGTGATCTGCGCCGGAAGGACGCAATTGAGAAAGTTAGCATGTCCTCAGTCGGTTTCCTTTCATGCCGTCTTTTACTGACGCTCCGTCCCCGTGCCGCTCAGATCTTGCACCAGATGCTGTTGAACGTGGCGCAGCACGACAAGATGTCTCAGGAGTTCTACCAGACGTACTACACGGTGATCCTGCACCACCTGTTCACCGTGATGACGGATACGTCGCACACGGCCAACCTGACGCAGCACGCCACCATCATGGCCTACATGTTCAGCATCGTCGAACAGGGCAAGGTGAGGCACTAGTGTGCGTGTCTGTGTGTGCGTGGGGGGGGGAGGGGCGAGGGTGGTTGACATCTGAAAATGGTCTCAACTGGTCCGATAGCGTGCTGTTTTTGACAGCGGGCCTTTTTGTACTGCTCGAGTTTGAGATGGGTTGTGGACTACGTACAAATTCTGTAGGACGCAAGCAAATTTTTGCTGGCATATCAAGCTACCCTGTGTCTGGCTTTTTGGGCCATTTCTGACCCCGTGCCTCGATATTCTGACGTTACTGACCTTTTGTGCGGCCCCGTGTCTGACGCTGTGCGCCCGTTCCTCTCAGGTGTCTGCGGTGCTGAACAGCACGGCGCCACCGCCGGCCGACCCACAGGCGCTCATCGTCTCCAACATCACCTACATCAAGGAGTTCGTGGCCAACCTGCTCAAGACGGGCTTCCCGCACTTCACCGACAACCAGATCAAGATCACCGTGCAGGGTCTGTTCGATCTCAACCAGGATCTGAGCGCCTTCAAGGAGCACATCCGGGACTTCCTCGTACAGATAAAGGTGTGTGCTCATGCCGAATCTTGCGCCTGTTCTCTAATTCCTGTCAGTCAGTTAGGATTAGCTAAGTATGGTATTGTTTGGTGGTAGCCTGTCTAAAGTAACCACTGGGCCAATTTTGTGACGCTGATTCGTTTGGGGCCCATTGGTGAGGGCAGGGGATTGGTTCGGCTTCATATAAGTGTCGCCCAACGTTGCTCGATATCATCACCCACGCTGGACTCCGGGACCCGGGTATCGTACCTCAGTCTATTACAATTTTTACACGCCACGTTCCCGTAATATCTCTGTCGATACCAGCCGCGGGTCGAAGGTTGGCCGGTTTCCGACCCGGCCTTCTCTACGCTATGCGCATTGCACAATTACTTCGAGTCCCAGCGTGTCCTATGACGCATCATGACACGTCACGCAGGCATTTGTTGCAATATCAAGGCTCGGGCTTACCCTACCCCGTACCCACCGAGTGTGATGCCGGTTACTCGGAACTTCTTGAGCGGACGGTAGAGGTCGGGACCTGCGCAGCAAGCTGCGCTTGGTGTGGGCACTGATTGAGCTGAAAACCACCTATCTATCTATACAGCTGACCTAAGTTGTATAGAGAATATCGTTCACAACTAAATTGATGACCTTAATTATCAGTCATAATCCTATTGGCTGCTCGCCGCTCCTCACCAGTCCCAACGTATCCCTGCCATTCCTATCCCTCCCGCTGCCCAAACCAATCTGGGGGCCGTCTCTCATGCCCCTTCGTGCCCCTTCTATCGACCCCGTGCTGCCAAACCTGACACCTGTAACTGACGCCCCCCCCCCCCCTCCCCTGTCCAACAGGAGTTCACCGGGGACGACGCCGACCTGTACCTGGACGATCGGGAGGCAGCGCTGCGGCGCGCCCAGGACGAAAAGCGCAAACAGCAGGCAGCCGTGCCGGGCATCCTCAACCCGCACGAAATCAGTGAGCAGATGCAGGACTGAACGCGGGCCGGACCCTCATACCCGGCCCCACACAGCCAGCCAAGAGCGAGCGACTGAGCGAGCGTAACTTATGTGACTGCGTGCCGCGGACTGCGCCGTGCGAGAGGAGCTGCGCGGCCGCGCCGCCGCCGCCGCCGCGCGCTACAGCGTCGTTACAAGACGCCACCGGCCGGCGGCGGCCTCTCTGTGATTTTACACTAGTGGATTATTTCTGCGTCGCTTTGTTAGGTATTTTTTTTAGGATTCATCTCTTTCCAGTGTGCGTGGAGTGTGGAGCGGCCAAGTTTGCTTGTTGCGTTACCCGTTGCCGGTGCGGCCCGTGTTAGTGTGTCTGTGTGCACGCCGCGCGGTGCGGCGCGGCGCCCGTCTGTCCGTCTGTCTGTCTCTGTGCCACGGGTCCGGGCCGCTCGCCGGTCTCCAAAGATACGTGTCAGATGTGTTTCTTTCACAGCGTGAGGTCGGAACAGGCGGCGCCACGGAAATAATAGGTTTTGTACAAAATACATAGCTGTCACCTGCCCGTCCCACGAGTTGTCCAGATACTGAGCTGTGTGCGTGTCTGTGTTGTGGCGCTGCTGTGGGCTGAGGACGGGGTGGATCACCGGGGCCGGGGCGTCACGACTGAGACGGCGCCACGCCGCCGGGCAGGCCTCGCCCTGCGCTGTGCGACCGTCGGCCGGTGACCGTGTGTGGTGCGATCGTCGGAGCCGTATAGGCGGCGCTGCAGGGCTAGGAGAGGAGGCAGTGGCTCCGTCGGCCACGTCTTGGTACCACGACAGAGGCCACAGAGTATGCAGCCTATACAAATACTCCAAAGCTGCTTGATACTTATGCCGATGGTCCGACTTTTACCGAGCTTGTGTGGTACGGCTGCAGTTGCACCTTACGGGGATGGAACCAGTATTCGGGACCCAAATTGTGCGTTGAGCAATTCCTAAAAGACACTGCTTCGGGGCGTTACGATCACGGACAGGGCTTTGCAGTTACAGATCTCCAAAGGGAAGTGTGAATTGCAGCGGTGTAGCGTCTGAGCTCTACATGGTTAGCTCTCTGTTGGTGCGGATAGCAGCAACGCTGAGCGTCAATCCGCCCGTTGGCAGCCGTGTGGCGTACGCAGGTTTACTCTGTCATCGTGGAATCTCACTCGGGATTGTGTTATTAATTGAGCAGATGTTTGTAAATGCTCGCTGACCGGCATTTACCGCGCTGCGAGACAGGGCGATATAGGGCTCATGTTGTCGTCGGATCTCGTGTTATCGTCCATCGCATCGTAAGGCGGTGGCCGCACCTTGATAAGCGCTCGGCCTCTTGAGACTACTTGCAAACAAATCCGCTGGCGCTCACTCAACCCTGCGTCATCCACTCGTGTTGCTAGTCACAGATCCTCCCTTCATCACAGGAACGGCTTCCTCCCAGGAGCGAAACCCACACCCGACAGAAAACCGGACAGTCTAGATTAAAGTCTCCCAGTCTCACATAAGTTTTTTGTGTGTGACCGGTTTGTTTGGAAACTCGCACCCTGACCCGTCGCCCCGCCTGTCTCCCCTCGTCGCCCGCCGTACCCCGTGTAGAGGACAGAAATCTAAAAGGCGACAGAAGCGTATGGCTGAGGGCAGAGAGTGGGCCGGCGTGTGTTCATTTCATACGACGCCGGCGCCGGGGCGAGCGACGGAAATCGATATTATGAATAAAGGCCTGTCACTGGCGGTGAGGAGGATCGAAAATAGGGAACCAGGGCTGGCTGCATTGAGTCGATCGCCGTGTTCGAAAACGGAGGAGCGGATCTATCACATACAGTTTATGGCACTGCGAGGTTACGTTGGCGCTGTTAGTTAAATACTCTTTGTAACTACGCGATCCCGGCTGTCAAATTGAGGCGGTTTAATCCCTTCATTCTCAAGAAAAAGAGTACGGAAGAAATAGAACGTAGCAGGTGATAATGACTGCTTTTATCTATCGCCACGCTCCGGGACATACCGTCCGGGCTCCCGCTCCGGCCGCATGCCGGGCGTCCGCTAATGTCCCGTTTCCGGCGCCCCGCCGCCACTGTCCCCCGTGCAGGTGGCGGTCCAGTCGCTAAGGTCATTGCCACGCCAGACCGCGTCCTTGCGGCGGCCGGCCGCGCCCCACTCCGCGCCGCTGCCGCCGAGTTTCAGCGCCGGCCGTCCGCCGTTCGATCGGCGCGCGGCCGGCCAGATCCGCCGCCATGCCCTTATATGGGCACGTTCCGTTGGCGACGGCCGCGGCGGCGGCGGCTGACTCACGGGCGGCCAGCTGATCCCCTCCCCTCCCCCGCCCCGGCGGCCGCTCACTCACACACGCCGAGTTCCGGCCGGCGCTCAGCGTGCGCGCTATTCCGTCTCAGCCGACCGTTCTGCAGGCCAGGGAACCCCAACCGAACCGACGGCGGCCGAGCCACCCCGAACCTCTTCCGTGACCATATTTGGCGCGTCGGCAGCGGCTGCCGACCGATGACGGTAGTCTGGACCGCCACCGCGGGAACCGCCGTCACCGCGGTGGTAATAACACCGTTCCCGTCTGGTGTGTGTAGCGCGGCCGCGTGGCGTGAGTACGGCGCTCGTGTAAAATGGCGGCTCCGTCCCGACAGTCCCTGAGCGAGAGTGCAAACCCTGCAAACGTGCAATCGCCGGCTCGCGATCGCCCGAGCTGCTCTATCGCGTACGATTTGTCTCGAGTGGCCCGGATGAGCATGTCTGCGATAGCAGCGTGGAGTTCTGCCCGGTCGCGAACGATATACCGCCGCCGCAGCCCCACAGCCTCGCCACAGCCGAAAACCACAGCATCCGACGCAAAAGGGGTTTATTCAACACGCATCGTTGATTAATACAATTACAAATAGAAAATGGTCACAGTAACTGCGGCGCGGAGCCACGCGGCGACTCCGACTGCGGTGCGACTGGGAAGCAGCGCGCACCGCTCACGCCGCTGGCGGCCCCGCTCTCTGTGCCGGGGGTCCGGGGACACACCACTGTGGACACACGCCGGGGGCGGGGCTGCCCAGCGGCCGCGACCCGGCCCGGCCGGCCGGCGCTCGGTCCGACCGAACCGGGCCGGCCGCGAGCACCGCGCGGGAATGTAGCGACGGCGGCCGGCGGACGAGACGACTCTACGAGCGGTCGTTCGCCCTCAGCTTGTTCTCCACCTCCTCGCGGGAGATCTCAGACGAGTCGGTGGCCTGCGGGCGGACGGTGGAGGGTCAGAGCCGAGGCGATCGAACAGGGAGCGGCGCGGGCGGCCGAGGGGATTAACCACGGGTCCATGTATATTTCTCCCACTCCATACGGCCGCAATGCCGCTCTCACATCAAATGCAGAGCGACCTTTGCATAGTAGAGCACAAGCACGTTGCATAGTCATTTCGCTCGGTAACAGGGCTCACTAGATCGAGCGGAACACGTCACCGGCTGTGGCACAGAGAAGGCAAAAACTCGCCGAGCCCGGGCGTCGGCCCGCGACAGGAACTATCAGCAGTGACTCATCTCTGACGATATCAGACGTCGGACAAAGACCTAGTGAGTGAGCCACTGACAAATCACCTCACAAAGACTCACAGGTGAGACAGATTGCTGTCCACGCCCGGTAAATAGAAATGTCTACGGAAATATAATCCTATCATACCCATAATACGAAGGAGTCTATGGCATCACCCAGTGATCCACGTGTCTCATCGGCCAACATTCGTCACAACGAGCAGTATCCGCCCTGGCGGCGTTGCGTCATACTCCGTGGAGGGGGCAGCCCGGGGCGACTCCTCGTGCACCGCCGATAGCGCGGCCACGGCCCGCCCGCGTCCTTACCTCCACATATTTGGCGACGCCCGTCAGCGACTTTTTGAGCGCGTCGAAGCTCGACGAGTACAGCATCTTGGCCTTGATCTTGGCCTCGTCGGGGCACCAGAGCATCAGGAACAGCTTCTGCTTCTTGGTGGGCTGCGGTGGGAGCAGGGAGGGGGGGGGGGTGTTACCACTGGCGACCTAACCATAATCTGAGCTCATCGAATATGTAATAGGTATGTAGATCACGGTCCATTCCATGAATCGCAACAAACCGCACCCAGCTACCCTTACTATCCGGGGGTTAACAAATTAGCAGCATTTACCCTGTACCACTCCCCACCGACGTCCACAGCAGCGAACAGCTCCTTAACCCCATGTCTCCAAACCCTCTCTCCTACACTTTCGCCCTGTCGCCGCGCGCCGTTACCCACCTCGGCAGCGCCCTGCACCGTGTGCAGGTACTCGTAGTCGAACAGGCCGTAGCGGCACATGCCCTTGCCGGCCTTCTGGATGTCGGCCACGTAGTCCTCGTAGCTGGCGTCGCGGTCTCCGATCGCCTCGACGTCGATCAGCGTGTCATCCTTGATGACGAACACCACGTAGCGGTGCTTCTTGGCCTTCTTCACCTCGTCAAACACCGTCTTACACGCGTCGGACACGGACACTCCAGAGGCCTGGCGAGGGGCGAGGACACCCGGTCACAATGGGGGACACACAGTCACAGCTGGGTGGTCGTACATGGACACTCCAGAGGCCTGGAGGGGAGGGAGGGCACAAGGTCACAATGGGGAACACACAGTCACAGCGGGGTGATCGTACACGGACACCCCAGAGGCCTGGCGGGGAAGGAGGGCACAGGGTCGCAACGGGGAACACACAGTCACGGTTGTAACCGAGCGGATACCTAAGACGCTTATCATTCTTTTATGACGCTGAGTGTCGACACAGGGAAGACGTTATTGCGACCTGCAAGCGACATAACAGTCTGGGTTCAATTTGGCCAAATTCAGCCGTGGAAAAAGGCCCCGAAATATCGTAAGAGAGGTAGAGAAAAGAATGGTTTGACGAGCAATGAATGGCGTATGCCCGTAATCTCTTGCGTGGACTTCAAAATCTCATTCCACTCATTCCACGAGCGGAGCGCGAACTATTATCGGAGCACGTCGTCCGTCGGACAGATGCCCCGCAGCCCGCCCACAGCGGTCCCTCAGCCGCCGGCCGCCGTCCGTCACATAGTGACTCAGACCAGGTGGTGACACCAGGTGACACTCAGTGACACTTGGTGACACGCGCCACCGCGACCCTGCGAGCCTCCTCTGACTCAGGGAGGACCCGAGCGAATGTCGTACCCACGCGAGCGGAGAACTAGGGAGAAGAAACACGGTAACTGCCGCCGCTGCCTTCGACACTGGGAGGATCACAATGGGGAGGACTTTGAGGGAATGGATGGAAAAAAGCCTGTATCATTGAAATAACATAAAGCAATATTGAAATTCCTGCAAGCTTCAGAAGCAAGCTTTCTGAAGCTTGCATGCAAGACATGCAAGCTTCAGAATCATTGCAGGTCTTCTTAGTTTGCAAACCATTTGGAAATGATCTTTGCAAGTGATCTTACTATGAATATGAATAGGTACAGCAGTTGCAAATAACTCAGTAGCTCCTTTTGATCCATCACCATGTAAAAATGCAGCCAGTGCATGAAAAAGATGGTATGGATGCAGATAGAGATTGTCAACATTAAAAGAGCAAAAAAAAAAAATGCTGACTCATGTTTTCCCAACTGTATGGTAGGCACAAGTGGTCCCACTGGCATTTGCAATATGCAAGCACCTGAATGACACATAAATAAATGGATGGCATGGGAGCAACACATCGCAAACAAAAGTGTTACATACTTTTTTTCATTGAGAAACAATGTGCAATGTATTCAATTCATAACAGTCTTATAATTGTCGAACATTTTCCCATTCATTGGCAATTCATCACCTATAAAGATGTCCATCAAAGTAAATACAGTACCAGTTTGGGTGGTTATTTGGCTTGGATTTGCTCCCTAATACCTGCTTGTTATTTTAACATCAAATATTTCAGGTTGCCAGATTGAGAATATTGGTCATCATGGACTACTCTCAGGCCAAATTTATAGCACTGTCACTGGGGTATTTTACAATCAAACAACAGACACTAGCTCATCAACTTCAATACCAGGCCCTTTCCATCCTAGCTAGGACAGAGAGCAGCTTGAAATGTAATGAACCTTTAGGATGGGTTAATGAAGCAGTTAGCAGACCTTACTTTACTGTGATTTAGCATTATACTTACACTGATAGGGCCTTTCAAACTGTAACTTATAATGCCACAACAATGTGCACTGGATCATTTCTGTGGTGTGTCATCAACATCAACTGTTAAGCTCAAGATTACAATGCTATATATAAATTGCAATGAAATTTTAAACGTAAGTGAACAAGCCAGATAGGTAGTTACCATCAAATTACAGGGTTCAACCAAATACCCTATCCAGTGGCCCATGAATTTCAAATGCGTCAGACACAATTTATACAATTTAGAGAATAGATCACTGGCATATCAAGACTATCCACAACTTTCAAGAATCAAACCTAACCCAATATCACATGGTATGAAGCATGACTCAGACTGCGAATGGTGACCACATTCTACGCAACTCAAACTGGTTGAGTGAGGTAAAAATAAGAAAACCAGTGCTTCAAGAGGAAGAAAACAAAATAGGTAGCTATTATTGGCACTCAATGTTGATATCATGGGCGTATATTTTAAAGTAAATCACAGAATATGCGCCTCAAGCTATTGCAGTACAGCAGACGGAAATGGCGCAGGACGGCCGGTCCCGGCACACGGAATCGATCAAAACAAAACAAATTCAACGAGCTAAGTAGCCAAAAACGCACAATGCGGGCAGAGGAACACAGAGAAGGTTTCGATCGACTTTCTTACCATTTTGTGTTAGTTGGCTTCCGGATAATTTGAATACAATACGCGCTGCAATAAGCGCGCCACTCCCTCTTCCGTTAGCGTCCGCGCCGGTCGTGTTGAGAGCGCCAAGGTTGAGGCAGAAATAAATAGAAGTTCCGCACCGCGTCCTAGGTGAATTCAGCTGATTACTGACGTCATCGAAACAAAAGATAGTGGCGGAACTCCGGCCAAGATCATCCACTAATATATATGGCCTTGCATCCACTATTCGGCACAGGGCACCGGCACGAGCCTTATATGGTTGATAAGCGACCAGATTGAACGCGTAGTAGGTATTAACGCTTCACAAACTTTGATCATCAGATGACGTGTCGTGTCTTAACTCTAATCACCATCGACATCAACGCAGAACATGGCTGATCGTTCCACGGCATCGCTGATCGCTCTCGAGCCGATTCTCTTTTCCTAAAATTGAAAGCCGCAGTCAAGATTATCTGTTGGCTCATGAAGCAAAAGGTTAGTATTAGAATCCCTCAGCCCATATCGAAGCGCAGCCAGGGCAATGAACGACTCCGCAGTGCCGGTCGTCGCACTGCTCGCAATCCGCTAGCCGCGATTGCGCCAGCGGCAACCCTCGAACCGACGACCGACGAGCCGGCTCAGTGGCCGGTGTGGATCTGCTGGACGTCCGCCGCAGCCACTCGGTGCTCCGTCACCACTGGCGAAGGCTGGGAGTAGCCACGGGCCCAGCAGATGCCGACACCACCCGGCCGGCCAGGCGTATGCGGGGCGGGCTCACGCTACTCTAGATGCGACTCGGTGGGCCGCCTGGACTCCGCAGGAAGTCCAGGGAGTGCTTGCCCGTGGACGCTGGCTTCCTTGGCGATGGCGTCAGCCCTCGCGTTGCCCTCCAGGACGCAGTGAGACAGTAAACCTGCCGGCCCCCGACTGTCAGTCCTCGGAGGGCCCCTTGATGTCCACTCCCAGCTGGGAGCTCTGGGCGGCCATGGAGGGAGCCGAGGGCGGACTGGGAGTTGGTGCGGGTTACGCCAGGATCCTCGGCAGGCAAGGTTTCTCTAGCAGGCTGGAGTGTAGCCCAGAGGGATACCACTTCGGCGCGAAAGCTGGAGCACAGGCGGTCCCCCAGGATGCGGATCGAGTACTCCTCTCCGTCCGGCCACACGATGACGGCTCCAGCGCGTCCATCTCGATGACGCCATCGGTGGACGATTCGCCGCTCCACACGCAGCGCACTGCATGAGCGACGTCAGGACGTGTCCTGGGGCCGAGTCCCCGTTCTCTTTCCACCGAACGCTGGTGATCGGTGGTGACGGCTTCCACTGACGGGTACGGCAGACAGAGGATCAGTTCGACTGGAGTGGTGATATCCGCTATCCTTCAGACCTACTCGCCCTTACTGTCCTCGGCGTACTGTCATTGCCAGCTTCGGAGCTGAGGATTTCGCCGATCACGTACCCGTAACATGCACGTGAAACACGCACGCGCTGGACCTGATTCCGCGTTCGGTTATCGGTCTCAGTCGCCCACGCGAGATGTTCAAGGTAGAAGCGATATACCATTAGGAGAGCAGCGTGGTTAGGTCGAGCACCATCGGCCGGTCGAAGTCTAGGAGTGAGATAATGCCACCCAGCTCATGCAGCATGTGCTACGTGTGACTTTCAAATCACCCCCCTAAACACGAATAGGGACCGTATGAGAGATCACAGCCGGTATGAGAGAGGTATGAGAGATCACACGCAAAACTCCTGCAAAGAGAATTCATTGATAGCTATGGCATGTCAACTTGATCACAGATCTATCGTGAAGAGCATGCAGATGACACGAAAAGCCAGTCTTCTGGTTCAGGCGCGCCCTATCCCCGACCCAACGCCAGCATCGAGATCTGCCTCTCCATCACCCGTTCCGCTCACCATGCCACAACTCGCCTCAGTCAGACTCACAACAGAAACTTATCGAAACGGTCCTCTCATCTCAGCATGTGCCTGTATTCAGTCTGAGCAGGCTTAACGGGTGCATGATCACGGAACACGAGTCTGTACGCGTCTCTCACAGTCCTCGCGGACTAAAACCGAACACTCGACAAAGTACCGTCTCACGGGACGGCTAACGCGCCGCGCACAGGTCACCTACATCATAAGACCGCGACTCGGCAGCTCGAGTCGCCACCGCGTATAGTTCTCAGTGAGTGCCGGTGGCGGGGCCGACCGCTACAAGACACTGGGGCACCCGCCGGCCACGGGTCGGGATGAGGAGCCGCCGACGGCCGCACCACCTCCCAGCCGCGGACAACACTCCGAGGCTGGCACCACTGGGACGTCACTCCAGCCGACCCGACAGCGAGCGAACGAGGCACGGGACGCGACCGGTTCTCGGCGCTGGGCGCCGCCAGCTCGGGAGAATAAGTTAATAGCCTTGTACGACGGGCACAGCCGTCTTCCTAGGAGTTCGGCGGGCCCTAAATGAGGCCGCGCTTCTTCTTGTAGTCCTCCAGGTTGAGGGATCGGCGCGGCGTGATGCTGTCCAGCTGCCGGGGCAGCTTCGGCGTCACGCTACTGGTGGTTGTTTGTGCTGCCGGCCGAGGGAGGCAGTCAGTATGTGAGGGGGAAGAAGATACAGCTTCACTCATAATAGTATTGACTATTGAGAGTAAAGTTGGGGATGGCAACGGCAGAAGTCCCAAGAATAACCTGAAAGGCGTCAGATATAAAATATATGCGTTACATAATTAATCCGTACGACTAACAATCTAATAGAAAAAATGTTATTATGTTAATCGTTCAATACTAGTTATTACACTTCTACCGTGTATGTTCTACTTCTAACGCATTTATTATACTTCGAGGTAGGATGGCACAAGTTGGGTACCATCGGGAACAAATTAAGTGTTCGAAAGGCACACGGAAGCACCGCAGTATAATGAAAAATGTGCTTTGCTCAGGAAAGCAAATTTATACATAAGTAAAAAAATAAAATGCATTTTAACTTTTAAGGTAAGGTGGAGCTGTTATCGGAACTGGATTCTCGGAATTGAATTCTCTACATGGAGAGAGGTCTAAAAAGATGACGATTTGGGTCATCGCAGAAACGTCTGTAAGTGGTGACGAAGAGCCATGAATCTCATATGATGCCTCACGACATGACAAACAAAACTCCAATCCTAGCACATACTCTTGTCACAGGTACACATTGTTAGACCAATAGCCATAAAAAGTCAAACACAATCGTCGATTCATCCTAAAGCCAACACCAGGTACTCGTTGATTGGCACGTCCACCCCTGCGTCGATCCCCGCCCGGCTATGGCCCCTCGCCAGCACAGGGACGGCCAAAGCCACAGCCGGTCGGCGGGTACCGGGACGGAGCGCTCGTGGCAGTCACAGAGACCGGCCGAGGAACGCGATAAGGCCACAGGTGAAATGTCAACAGAGCGGCCGATGGAGACGCTCGACCGAGGGTGGCAGAGATAGGACTGTCTGATCCGTAATCCAATCGGCCACGGGGAACGGAATTCTCTATATGGAGAGAGGTCTAAATAGGGAACTTTGTGCGTGGGGCCGGCATCGGAAACAGACCCGGTACCCACAATCATTCAGCGCATGACCTAGTGAGGAATTGATACTCGGTTACAATATTAAAGCTGCCATCGTAAGCTGTTCATCTGTCTCATCATGCTTTCAATCATATTATCCTGCCAATAGGTAAATGCTATTTTTGTGACAAACTCAATACAAAGTAGACTTACAGGGAGGAGGTGCGCCAAGGTCGATTGTGATATCGAAGTTATGTGCATCAAACATATCATTGTGATCTTCGGTTTTTCTAGCTTTCTCTTTTTCTTTCTTCTTCTCTTCCTCTTCACGCTTTTTCCGTTCCTCTTCCTCCTGTAAAACGCATAGGTAGTATGAGCGTAAGCGGTTGACCTAGGATTACACAGTTAAATGTGATACGTGAGACGAAAAATTATCACAAAACATCCAGTATTGGGCAGCCAGTAAGCTCTCGCACATAAGCAAATAAGCCCGACCTGTATACGGCCCAAACCTTTCCATGCGGCCCGCAAAATTACTCGTACTGCCAACACTAGCTCGACAGTCGACATCCACAGCATTCGCTGCATTCTTAAGCGCTAGATCCTCAACTACCGCCATTCAACATTTGCTAAGCTCGGAAAGTCGCTTATCACCACCGCACCTTGTTTGTAGTTTGAAGCTAACTTGATAACTCAATCTCAGCGACAGGTTCCTGACCTTAACGCATCCAACACTAACGCCCGCCTACCCGCCCCGCCTACCCCTCCATCCAGCCCTATCCCCCGACCCGTCATACGAACCTTGGCCTTCATCTCGGCTTGGAGCCGCCGCTGCTCCTCCATCTGCCGCAGCTGCTCGGCGCTGGTGGCCACCTCCGAGTCCTTGCCCTTGCTGGACATCAGCTTGGGCCGCGACCAGCGGCGGGTGAACGGGTCCTCTGCGCGCTTACCGCCCGTCTGCTTCAGCTCCTCCTGTAGGGAGAGGCGGGGCAGAGAGAGGGGGACGTGGTCAGAGCTCAGTGTCACACTACCTCCACCTGGAGCTCTAGGAACAGGGCTACGGAGTCGGAGTCAGACGAAATCGACAGTTCTGCCCAGAGTCGGAGTCGATTTTTGAAAGCCGGAGTTGGAGCTGGAGCTGGAGTCGGAGTCACCGAAAATCATTTGACTCCGCAGCCCAGTCTAGGGACTCCAACTACCCCTGCGTCCCGTGGACGCATCAGAGCGAGGGATCACACACCACCACACTTTGATCTGACTGTTCCAGTGGAGACGGAACAAAGAGAGTAGAGCGAGTAAGACAGAAATGGACTAACAATTAGAGAGCTGGTCCTGGAGAACAGACCAAGCTTTTAATGTGGAGCTCACTAATGTGGACAGCAGACAGAGCACAGAGGGCAGACTGACCCAGCAGGAGCACTGGCGCCACCTGCGCCTGTCCGTTCCGTCAGTCGTCTCCGCCGCCGCCAGGGACGTAGGAGAGAGAGCGAGAGCGAGAGAGAGAGAGAGAGAGAGAGAGAGAGAGAGAGAGAGAGGGAGAGAGGGGGAGGGGAGAGAGAGGGAGAGGGAGAGGGAGAGGGAGAGGGAGAGGGAGAGGGAGAGGGAGAGAGAGAGAGAGAGAGAGAGAGAGAGAGAGAGAGAGAGAGAGAGAGAGAGAGAGAGAGAGAGAGAGAGAGAGAGAGAGAGGGAGAGAGAGAAGGGGAGAGAAGAGAGAGAGAAGAGAGAGAGAGAGAGAGAGAGAGAGAGAGAGAGAGAGAGAGAGAGAGAGAGAGAGAGAGAGAGAGAGAGAGAGAGAGAGAGAGAGAGAGAGAGAGAGAGAGAGAGAGAGAGAGAGAGAGAGAGAGAGAGAGAGAGAGAGAGACGCGTGATGTGATCCCTTGGCGCCTCATCTTGAACAAATACACTGGATGTCGCCCTTCCCCCCGATGCGCCCCAGTATATCTCACCATGATGGCCTTCTCGGCCTCCTCCACGTTCCGTTTTCGGTTTCGTTCGTTGATGTAGGCGATGCTCTGCAGGCTGCCCGTCCGCCTCTGGTCGAGCTCCTGGGCACGCTCCTCCAGCGTGTTCAGCTCCTGGATAATGGAGCGGAGCCGTCAGGGGATATAGGGGCGTCAGTGGCGAGACAAGCAGGATTGTGAAAAATGTACTGAAAGTGGAGAGATGTATATCATAGCCAACAAAGTTAACCCTCTAAATGGTCAACTCACAGCTGTTTCAGCAAAACATAAGGATTATGTAAAAGAATAGAGTGCTTAGTTTCCCGAACAACACTTCACTGATGTGAGTCTGGCAACAACAACGCTGCTGCAGCGTACAGAGCGAGCTGTCTGTCGCTGCTATGTGCCCAGCAGAACCAAAAGAGCTTGGGAGGGGAGATTATTGGCACGATCGGAGTTACGGCCGCGGCACTCACCTGGTTTATTCTGTCGACGGTAGCCTCGTCACCCTGCGACTGGGCCATTTCGCGAACCTTCATCAGCTGACTCTTCTTCATGGCGAAATTAGTAGGGTTCTGTTTGAACCGAGATTTCTCCGATATAATCTGCGGTCACAAAGCGGGAAACAAGATTCAGAAGGTGTCAGAGGGCCGGCAGACGCGGCGGCGAAGAATATCCTATCGAGGAAGGCCAGAAGCATCAGCGTACACTTTGATAAATATCGGCCATTGTTGTGCGTTTATCAATTGAGAAGTGCAGCGAGCTCGATGAACGATCTAGCCAAATCAAATATGACGAGAAAAAATGGACAGATTCCATTATCATTCATCGCACAATGCCTGGCTATTCCCGGCATGAACTATTATTACGTACCTTATCAATATCGGAGTTTTTGTACGTATAACTTTTGGCATTCTTGAGGTCGGCCACCTTCTTTTCGACGGCGTCGATGGTGGGCAGCTCGACGTCCTGCATGGCGCACATCTCTACCCACTTGGAGTACTCAGTATCCGTGAACTCCTGGTTACTGACAAACTCGAGTCGGAACACCCGCTCCTGACCGCCGTGCCTGGGGATAAAGGAACGAGATCCAGTCAAATACTCCTGACAAACTCCAGTCGGAACACGAGCTCCTGACCAACGTGCCTGGAATAAAGGAACGAGATCCAGTAAATACTCCTGCTTACTGACAAACCTCAGCCGGAACACTCGCTCGCATACAGCCTCGTTGCTGGCGCGCCCATAACACCAAAACTAAGGAGCACGCGCTCCTGACCGACCGAACTTCTGACCTGCAGGGGTGTAATTTTATATCTCTTTGTGGAGGCAGATGCACCCACAATCCTGAAATATGCCCCCACAACGATGAAAATGCACCCACAGGTCTTCTTTTACAAGCGCCCTTTCGAGAGCACGGCGCCCTTCGCATGCTCTAACGGCGTCCTCCTGACCGCCTCACGTTCCTGGATAGTGGATAATACAGCGTTTTTAATCACTCGGCGCCCCTCTAGGAGAATGGTGCCCTTTTCATGGTTTCACGGCGCCCTCGTAACCGTCTGGCGCCCCTACGTTCCCACCAAGTTAGCATTACTGACTGTGCGGCGCCCTTCTGACCTCTCTGCGCCCCTGGATCATATAGCATTTTTAATCACTTGGCGCCCCTCTGGGAGAATGGCGCCCTTGTCATGATCTCACGGCGCCCTTGTAACCTTAATCTAGCGCCCCTACGTCCCCTAAGCGGCCTGGCGCCCCTACAGCTGGACACCCACAATCATTTTGGGAAAATTACACCCCTGCTTCTGACTTTAAAACCTCAGCCCTTTGCTGTGACTCACTTGAGCCGGAGACCCTTGTTGGTGCGCGTGGTGCCGAGCTGATACACCTTGGCGGTCTCGCAGACGGCCGTCACCTCGGCCACGCGGTACACGGGCCGGCCGGCGCCGTTGTTACCGATTCCGACCCGCACAAAGCAGCCCTTCACCGTGTCGGCAAAGAACGGCGCGTGGCACCACCTGGCGGCAGCGGGGGGGGGGGGGGGCGGTCAGACTGGGTACGGTCGGAGAGTCGGAGGGCGGCCTGGCAAGGTCTGACAATGTTGAGGATTTACGTCTCTAACACTTTCAATGATGGTATCGATAGTGGTAGAGAGGGAGGAAGCTATAGGGTTTTGCTATAAGAATTAACGGATAATTTCACAGTATTTAAGCATGTCTGCCAAAACCGTCAGCCGCACCACCAACGTCTGCACGCACTTCTCCTACCACACTCATAGACTAGCCCCTCCCCCTTCCTCACGCCCCGCGTCACTCACTTCTGCCACTGGCTAACTATGGTCCAGACCTCATTTCTCATGTTCCTGCCACCACTCTCCATTCACCCATAACCCGTCTCACTTCTATCCCAGGGCCACCGCCACCTCCAAACTCCCTTCTAGCGTAGCCGCCACCTCTCCCTCCCCTCCCCTCACTCACTTTTCCAATTTATGTCGCGACAGCCGGATTTTGAGCAGGTCCTCTCGACCGGTGACGTACTGAATCTTTTTGGGCTGTGCGCGCTTGTGTCCTCGGTCGGTATCCGACTCGGAGCTGGAGCCGCCGCGCCGGCGCGGCGAGCGCTCGTCGCCGCTCGACGAGCCGCTGTCGTCGCTGTAGACGTCTGTGGTGCGCAGCTTGCCGCCCTTGCCACGCTTCTCGCTATCTGAGTCCGATGAATCGGACGATATGGCCGGCTTGGCGGCCGAGCCGGCCGCGCTGTCCCGCTTCTTACGCTCCAGCTCCTCCTGTTTCTTTTCGCGCTCCTCGGCTGGGTGGGACAGGGAGGAGTTAGGCACCGATGCAGCGCACGATGGGGATGATGGAGGCGATAAATGTGTACGGGGTGTGCCACATGAAAACAAACAGGTAACACCATATGGAAGCATTATGCTGAATAACTCGAGAAATCGTGTTTGGTGCGTGAGCCTACCGTCACGGTTCGGGTCAGAAGTGGCGCGCTAAGCACAACGATTGTGAAACAAACACCAGCTGCGTCCTTCAAAGTCAACTATGCGCTATCCTATGTTCTACACTTTTTACACGCGATCTTCACTCTAAAGTTCTAGGTACACCAACTGAACAGCCAAGATACAAGTCTATATTTTCTTAACGCTGCCCGACAATACCAGCCCTCTGGGCGCCTGCGGCCGTGTTATTCACTAACTCGCGAGTTTCTGTTCAACTCACACACTGTCTCCGAGTTTCTGCTCAGCTAAACTATCATCTGCCTACTCTTTTCCGACGACTCTTGCCATTTTTGCATCTCGTTCTATGCTTACAGAGTTTCTGCTTTGCTCACTCACAGTCTCTACAGTAAGTCAAACATTTTCCTCTTTACATAATATCGGCGTTTCTACCCGCCCGCCCTCACTCACTGTCTCCGAGTTTCTGCTCTTCCCTCACTCACCGTCTCGGAGTTTCTCCTCTGCTCTCACTCACTGTCTCGGCGTTTGTACCCCGCCCCCTCACTCACCGTCTCTGAGTTTCTGCTCCCGCTGTGCCTTCAGCAGACTCAGCGCACTGCCCTTCTTGTCCTGTCGCTCCTTGTTTTCCTCCATGGCCTTTTTGCGGTCGGTGGTGCGCTTGATTTCGGGCTCTTTGACCGCCTTAGGCGGAGGACGGCTCTCCCGCTTCTTCTGCTGCTCGCGACGTTTGGCATTCTTCAGCTTACGCTCGATTTCGAACCTGACGGCGGGGCCGAGAGCGGTTACGAATAAATGATAAGAACGAGGATGCGACGGAATCGTTTGGACCGAGTCAATATGTGATAATATGCGCTAATGAAAAAGCTAGCTTAAGTGGTGGGATACATTGGCACACGTTTCTGCCTGCTCGTTGAACAATCGATCCTCAATCTAACAATATCGTCCCTAAACTGACACACAGAACACCCAATCCCGCCTCTCGTTCCCCTGCATCTCTCACCTGGTCCTAGCCGCCTCGCGCTTCTCGAGTCGGTTGAAGATCTCCTGTTCTCGCTCCTTCTCGGTCATCTTCTCCATGCGCGCGCGGTCCTCCTCGTCACCCATCAGGTTTTCGTCGAGGCCGTCATCGAACTCGGCGTCCCCGTCCGAATCGGAGACCTCGCCTGCGGCACGCGGGGAGAATAATACGGGTCACGGGGCGACATAGTGTAGACTAGCAGTCCCAAGAGAGCAGGCAAGTGGTCGTCCGTTTTCCAGGACACAAACGCCCTGTGAAGCATACTAGGTCATCCGTTGAGGGAATCCGCCCCCGATCTCGGTCTCGCTCCAACTGGGCGCAGCTGGTCATAAACCCAGGCGGCAGCTTGATTCAGCCATACCGCGGGTTTATTCCGGCGATACCAATCATTCGGTTTGGTCGGACCGACATTGCGAATGCAGGTATTTTGACAACAATAATACAAGCAGAAAACGAACAACATCGACAAGATGAGGGTCATCACAGAATTATGTACTTTATGGAACTTAGATCAATTCAGCAGTTCCCATGGCTACATGCTCTACATTCGTTTAGTCACCCACCACCACCTTCCAACTCGTCTCCCCCGTCCACACTGCAGCATTCCATCTTACCATCCTACACTCTCCCGTACTGACCTTCCTCGGGCTCGGACTTGTTCTCCGGCTTCTCGCCCTCAGACTCATCGTCGGACTCTGAACCAGACCCGGAGCCGGAGCCGGAGCCGGAGCTGCGGCGCGCCGGAGCGCGGCGGCGCACCGTTTTCTTCTTCTTGCCGCCGGCGCCCCACTCGTCGTCGCTGTCGGAGGTGTCGGAATCGGCCGGGGCGGCGGCGGCCGCCGGTGGAGAGCCCTCATCGCGGCGCTGCTTCTTCTTGGCCAGCGAGAGCAGCTCCTGGGGATGCAGGGGTCAGAGGGTCAACAGAGGTCACCAGCGGTCAGTGGCAGCCACAACTCCTGGGGGAGCAGGGGTCAGAGGGTCAACAGAGGTCACCAGCGGTCAGTGGCAGCCACAACTCCTGGGGGAGCAGGGGTTAGAGGGTCATTGAACAGAGGGAAGATAGAATACCCTCAGGAAGAGGAAGGTCAGCTGAGAGGCCAGTGGGCGGAGTGGCAAGCAGTTCCCGGGGATCGGGGAAGTGCCATCAGTAGCGGTAGCTGTATGGGTACCATACTAAATCAAATCAGTCAAAATATTTAACCTGGCATAGGATCGAGACTATCCTACACTGATCTCAAACCCTGTCTTGCTCACCGAGTCGAGGTCTGAGCCGCTGCCGCTGGCACTGTCATCACTGTCCTCACTCTCCGATATCAGCACCTTGTTCTTCCGCTTGGACATGATGATGCCAGCTAAGCAGCTGTGCTCCTGAACTGGCCACTGGTCTGATCAGCAATTAATAGTCATGTCAGAACTGTGAAAAGTTGGGGCAGCTGTTGTAAATGACAGTAAGGGTTCCCATTTGACAAGTTTGGAAGCACAGTCAGCTAGCAGCCAAATGACAAAAGCTGGCACTGGCAGCTGGGACCTGAGCTATGAATGCAATACCTAAGTAAAACCTACGTAACACAGAGATATGTTCACAATTCAGCTTAAGTAGGTATGCAATGATCATCCATCCATATTTCTTTTCATGTGTAACTAGGCACATAAATATGTCCTGCTGTCAGCAGTGTTGCATTGCAGGAAAAGCAGGAGGAAATCCAGGAAAGCAGCTTCCTAGGCAGACCACATCAAATGCTGCCAAGAATTATTGCCTAAATTCCAGGGGAAGTGTGCATTTATGAGAAGTCAAGGCCATTTACTTTGTTGCTCCTTGAGGTTGCCAGCCATTCTGGTCTATCATGCACTGCGTACCTATTTCACACTAGCCTTTAAAACATGGCAATACTGACAAGATCTGGTTGGCATATAGACACTCAGCTGGTGCGCCATGCTGGTGCATTACATGATTACTGAGGTGTTGTGAGGATTTTGTGTGGAGCAGTGTGGCCCCTAGCAATGCATTTTGTCAAACTGCTGTGCTGGTGCATCTTCTACCTAAAAAAAAAAAATGTAAAGAGGCAACAATAGGGTCAGCCAGGAGCTATTTGCCTTTCCGTTGCAGTTTGTCTCATCAAAAGCACAGCTAGGCAGTGATCTATATTTAGTACGGGAAATTATGCATCTTGGGTAAATGTCAAGTTTAAGTCCTAAGAAGAGTTCATTGATAATTTTTTCATATTTATACATTATTTGACATCCTGAATCCAAAAATGATACTCATATGTCTCGCAAATAAAAGAAAAAAACATAATCAAACCTGACCTAACCTTACCTACTTACCTATAACCTACCAACCTAAAACTTACAAACCTACCCTAACCTAACCTAACCTACAAACCTACCTACCTACAACCTAAAACCTACAAACCTACAACCTAACCTAACCTAAAACCTAAAATTTTTGCTGTTTCATATTCGTATCAAAAGCGCCACTGTTGTAGTTAGGACCTAAACTTGACATATACCGCATCTTGTCTGGTATGAACTGATGTGCCATGCCAACTTATTTATACTCTGGTCAGTGTGTGCTGTTGTGTATTTGTCAACCTTTTTGTGTGGCTCATCAATACTGTCAATGTTGCTGTGGTACCTAGGTAAGCAGTCCAGATGGCACACATATGCGTCATGCTGCAGTGTCTGCCACTGCCAGCATCAATAATTCTGATTCATGATCATTCTACTGCATCAAAAGGTGTACTGAATACTGATGATTTGAAAATCATTCTATAACTTAACGATGTCCATCTTAAACATTCTGCAGGAGCGAAATTCCATTCCTCCAGGTTCCATTCCATATGAGTATCAGTATGGTATTGATGGGGATAGAGGTCATATTTCTATAGACTTGGGTCATATGGGCATGCATGCCATTTCTATGGCTCACAAGGCGGCATTTGTTAGCACAGGATAGCGATCAATCATTTAACACATTGGAATTCTCGATTATAATATTTTTATCTTGTGAAACCATCTCAGCTTTACTTGAAGGACTTTTAAAAACCATTAATCACAACATATACGTTGTCCCCGACCGCAAACTCAAACTTTAAGGCGAATGCTGCGCACACACGGCATGAAAGATGAATTCAGCGACTCAGCTGCATCTATTAAAAACTGACGTCATTAGAAAAGGCCAATTAAAAACCAGAAAGTTGTTATGTAATTTATTGAGAATAATGCTTTTCCATCAAAATTAAATCTTCAGAGCTAGCATTCATTATTGGGCTTCGAAAAATTGATTTGGTCTTATTGATGCTAAAGCTTCTTTTTCAACATGAAAGGAGGCACAGCTGAAAACTGTGACGTCATATATCAATCATATAAGTGTATACATTTCACAAAAAAAGTAGCCTTGATTGAACTCAAACTCACGTATCTCGTGCGCGCGTGCGAGAGAGTCAAATTTGTTGTGCGCGTGGGATTACGTGCTTTTGGGCTGTAATTTTCGTTTATGGAGCTTGACTGATGAATATATTATTGGCTGAGGCTGTTTATTTATATTGCAGCAGCTGAATGCAGCACCTGCAAGTATTCTGGCTGTAACGTGATCCTGATTGATCGTGTCATGCTGCTTCTCAACTTTTGAAGGTAAGTCAAAGTCAGTGTTTGCTTGAAGCCCTCGCTCTTATTTTCTGTATATATTTATCATCTCTTTATCATGATGTCTCATTCTTGTCTGATTGTATCTTTTTTCACCAATGCAAAGACCAGTCACATTTTGATTTGGCCAGACTGGACAAAATACATGTTATGCTGAATGTCTGTGTGCCTATTGCACTGAAAATTTCAGTGAATGACTGGCGTAACTTCGCACAGTGTCAGATTTGCATGCGCCAAATTCAGCTCACCTGTTCAACTCACCTGTTGGGTTTCCTTGACTCACCAGTGCATGAGGAGAGGCAGGAAACCGTGTAGGAAAGAGACGCGCCAATTCCCCTGGTTACGCTGGGCGCTGAGAGATGGACCGCAGGGGATTGGGGTAGTGCGTCTGCTTGGAGTTGGGGAAGGAAAAATTCTAGATGTGATTAGCTGTGCGGTATCAGTTCAGTACCGGCTGTCACGGTACTGTTTAGTTCGCTCCTTCGCGGAATCTGGAGTGCGCGGCGATGATCAGTAGAACCTTGCAGGAGAGATCAGACGATGTAGTCGAACAAACGATCACCAAGAACCTTCAGGAGTGATGACTTGAACTCGGCGAGGGAAGTAGAGGTGGCCGTCGAGTCGGGCAAGGCGTTCCACTCGTTCACGACGCGTTCCGAGAAGAAACGTGATCTCGTGTCCAGTTGGCAGCGCCGGACTGTGATTTTGAGTTGATGACCTCGGGTGCGGCGTTCGGAGGACAATTCCCAGAGATCTGACGGCTTGATGGGACCGGGGCTGTGGAAGATTTTCCAGCATTTGATGAGGTCGGATCGGATCAGTCTGCCCTTCACAGAGAAGAGGTTTAACTGTCTCAGGCGGTCACCGTACTCCATGTTTTGCAGGCCTTTGATGTGACGAGTCCATAGTCGTTGGACCGCCTCGAGTCTTCTGAGGTCATCGATGTATCCTGTGTTCCATACAACAGAGGCGTATTCCAGAACTGGACGAATGTGGGTGCGGAGGATGTGCAGCATGAAGTCTGCATCCCTACACAAGGTTGCTTTCAAAAAGCTGTGTGCCACTCCTCCAGCCTTCCTGGCGGCAGCTCTAGCCTGTTCGTGGAACCTTAGGCTGTCATCGATGATCACGCCAAGGTCGGAGTGCGATTCGGTCCAGGGAAGGGCAGAGTTATTCAGATAGTAACTCGGTCTTGGTGATTTGTGGAATTTCCGTTGGAACCTCATGAGGACGCACTTCTTCGAGTTCAGCGAAAGGCCCCACGATGATGCTGTGGCTTGGAGACGATCGATGTCCGACTGAAGACTTTTGGCGTCGAGCTCGGACTTGTTCCCACACATGTATATCTTCAGGTCGTCTGCGAAGATTTTGTAGCGGCTGTGTAAACCGATGGCTATGTGGTTGACGTAGATCAAAAAAAGGATCGGACCTAGAATCGATCCTTGGGGTACTCCGCTCCGTACTTCCTTCGATGAGCTCAGAGTGCTTTTGACCACTACTTGCATCCTTCGATGAGATAGGAAGTCCTGGAGCCAGGCAAGGAGTTGTCCGCCGAGACCAATACATCGGAGTTTCTCGAGGAGGACTGAGTGGCACACCGTGTCGAAGGCCTTGGAGAAGTCGAAAAGAATAAGATCGACGAGGCATCCGTTGTCCCAGTTGCGCGAGACGAAGTCGTACGTCAGTAGAAGCTGGTCTTCAGTAGAGCGGCCCGACCTGAAACCGAATTGATGGTCGACAAGAAGGTTGTTCTCGGCAAGGAACTCGTTCAGTTCACGCACAATAATGCGTTCCAGGCATTTCGATGGAACAGATAGAAGACTAACTGGCCGGTAGTTTAGAGGGTCTGATCGCGAGCCTTTCTTGAAGATCGGTACTACGTGGGAGTTCTTCCAACGGCGAGGCAGTGTTCCCTCTTCTAGCGACAGTTTGTAGATATGAAACAGTGGTTGCGATAAAACCGAGGCACATTCCTTCAACAGACGAGGATGGATACCGTCGGGGCCCATCGAAGAGTTAGCATCGAGGTGAACAAGGATGCCCTCAACATCTTCGCGGGTAAATGTAACGTTATTCAGCGATGCCTGGCAGCTCTGGTGAGGAAAGGGAGTGAGCTGTGGGGCTTCGCCATAGACGCTGGCAAAAGCCTCCGCGAAGGCATCGGCCATGGCTTTGGGATGGTCAGTGACGGAGCCCGATGACAGAGTTAAAGGTCCCACAGAAGAGCGGAACTGTTTCTTCTTACGTAGGTACGAGTGAATGAGCTTCGGGCTGTCCCTCATCTTCTTTAGGAGTGATCGCTCGTAGTCGATTTGCGAGTTTGTTGCGAAACTTCGTAACCGTTTGTTACACTGTAGAAACGATGCTAGCAGTGTCTTTGCCTCAGGGGAGTTCCTGCCGAAGGACGTTCTCGCCTGCTTGTAGGCTGACCATGTGGAGGACCTTAGGTGTTTCAGAGAAGTCGGTGGGTTTCTCTTCCAAGGAAACTTGTTGTTGGGCTTGTTATGTGTAGATCTCGGGATGAATTGGGATATTAGCACTTCCAATATGTCCTGGAGACGCTCGAAGGCGTCATGCGCAGATAAATACTGAAGCTCAAGGTCCCAGTCAATTGTTGCCATGTGACGGTTGATCATGTGATATTTCCCGTGGTGCCACAGTAGACGGTGCGAGTTCTCTGGAGGCACCTGGATGTCTTTGTCAAAAACATAGCTGCAGTGGATGCTGCAGTGATCGCATCCCGGAGGAGGGGCATTGACCGTAACGTCCCCAATTCTGTCGTCCTCAGATGTGAGTATGAGGTCGAGGATGTTGCCTGATCGTGGGAAAGTCGGTTCTGTGATCCATTGGTTCAGCCCCAAGTGATCAAACAGGTCCAAGAATCTTGTATCCGGCGGTGTTGCTGCTCTGAGGATGTTGTCTGGAGAAGTCCAATCGAGAGAAGGCAAGTTGAAGTCACCCAGAATTATTGTCTCCTTGCCAATGCAGGTCTCTAAAAGGAACGAGACAAGAGCCTCATTTTCCGCGGCGGAATGCGAAGGTGGCTTGTATACGACGAAGATGTAGATGCCGAGAACTGGCAGATGAAATGATAATACATTACTGAAGGATACATCCACCTTGTCGAACTGCAGATGATCGGCTATGTATGCGGCAACCCCGTGAATTCCTGCTCTACCACTATCGTTCCTTACAAGCGTGTATCCCGGAATCTGTACTGCTGCGTCGTGAATATGTTCTTGGAGATGTGTTTCTGAGACCAGAAAGATGTCTGTAAAACCTTTCAGATGTAACGTGTCCTGCAGCACTGGAATTTTGTTGCAGATGCCGTTGACGTTGCAATGAGCAATATGGAGAGCGAATGTGCGTGGAGTTTTGTCTTGACGTGTTAGTTTCCCGACCCGCCTTGGGTAGGGAAGGGGTTTAAAGTTTCAGCTTCGTTGTGGTGGTCGCCAACGTCATCACCATTGGAAGCAACAGGCAAGACTGCTTCGCGGTTGGGGGACAAGACGGGTGCACTGTTGGTGGTTACTGGTTGACCATCATTATCCTTCGGGTCGTCGGGCTTTGGTGTTCCGGGAGGGGCAGCGGGTGGGGGCCGTTGAGTCAGGGAGCCGGGTTCAAGAGGCACAGCAGGCTCGGAGGGGGGCTCTCGACGTTCCCACACCCTGGTTCGAGTGCGGGCCTCAGTTCCAACTGGGGGCCGTGTCGTTGATCTCACTTCAGTTTGCAGGGAGGAATTCGTCGGGGGATCCGCCGTGGTCTTCCTGCCATGCTTGAGGAACCTCTCTTGGAGCTCCATACGTTGCATGTATGTCAGGTCCCGTTTGACATACACCTTTGAGAATTGCTCAGAGTTCTTAAGGTTTTTTGCCTGTTCGAGGACCAGCTTCCTGTGCTGGGAGTTGTGGACATTGCCTCGAAACAGATCAACACCTGGTTTGATCCTACATGCTTCCGAGAGGGCCACTCTTTCCCCAATCAGGAGATGGGTGACTTCAGCAAATTTGTCTATAGCCTCAGCAGAAGATGATGCTCCTAGTCCTCGGATCACCAGGGAAGCTCGTCTCTTCTTTCTCTCATCAAGTTCCAGAAGCTCCTCCCTGACCACAGTCCTATAGTTGTTTTGGTTTCCAGCCTGGTCTGTCCCT